GCTTGGATGGACTATGATGGACTCTCAGGTCATTTGGCACATTCTGGCCCACCGAGTCTGGGGGGAAAATGCGAAAACCATACTGGGAATGTGGATGTCGTGCCTGTTTTTAAAAGTGTTTCTTGTGATTTGCTGGGAATGTGTGTAAGTGCTCCACCAAGCAAACATACAAAAGAACAAGTAAACCATATATGACCTTCAATGCTTGAACACGTTAGCTCTATTCAAAATAGTGTATATATAACTATAGACATATATACATTCCATTTGCAATCAAGCTGTCACCCACATTTGACCTCAGGATTGTTTTATTGCTGCCAGTATGACTTGTAACTTGAGTCGTTTGTTCGACCAAACCCTCCCCTCACCCACTATGGATGCTAGCCATGCATAGCCCTTATGACTCATCAACTTGTGCACCTGGCTGTCAAATAAATTCATGGTCCCAAAATCATGAAAACCACATGTTGAGCTTCTTAGCATTGCGAACTGAAAAGTCTTACAGCGCTAGGATGTTAGGATGTGAAGAGCTGAACAGGACGGGAATGGACTTCCCAGCGCGTTCGCCAGACGACGGTCACTGTTCGGAAGCAGGATGGTCCTGTTCCCAACAATAGATCTTTTGTTCTGATGGTCTACATTCAAAACTTCAAATATATACATGTATATATTATATAGTATTACTATGTTTGCGTAACATATAAATACATACAATATATTAATTATATATATATATATCGTCCCCACATGCCCCCACCACTCACCCCACGACCTATGCTCTATCCAACAGCCGATGGAAGCCGATGGCAAGGCCCCGATGGCGTCATTCACCCCAAAACGTCAGATCTCGGTCTCCGGTCTTCTCTTGCATGGTCTCGGTGGAAGAACGATGCGTCGCTGCAAAGAAGTTCCAGACACTCCATGGGACTGCCTATTTGCCGATCAGGCCAGGGGTGGTGCCAGGGGGTCAATGGGGCGGCAGTCCTATGACAGTCCCATGGAGTGTCGAGTGCGTTCGCACTCGACAGGCACTCGACACCTCACACTGGACATCACACCAATCAGCCATGTCTTGCATCTACTCACAGAGATGGCTTGGATGTTCCTTGTGAAACAGCCCGAAGAAACTCCCGCGCCGTGGTCAACCGTGTCTAGAAAGGCGCAATGGTCTGGCTGCTTGATCGACTTTTTAAAGAATTCCCAGGTTGGACCTCCCGGGCACTGCATGACATACCAGGTATACCGATAGAGTATATCCCATTGCCAACAGTGGATGATGGCGCAAGGGCTTGGTTACAGGTCGACATCTCCAAGATTTGGTGATCTCTGGGGTAATTGTCCCAAGGTTTCAGGAGCTAAAAGCTCATGCAAAGCTCATCCAAAGCTCCTTCTGGCCTTGTTAAGACCTCCCCCCATCCAACTTCCGGGCAGCCCTCCCGGAAGTCTGATCGCTTTGGCATCCACTGGGGGGCTGTTTTCGGCGTAGCATCCTGCAAGTTCGGGCTTCACTGGTTCGAAGTTCCGTTGGCCCTACCGTAGATGGGCGAAATATTCAAACCCTTTCAACCACGAGGACCCCTTCTACCCCAAAGCTCAATGTTAGAGGTCTTGCAAGAATGTTTCGGCGAATGGACGAAACAAATCAAACCCTGGAAACACAAATTCAATCAAGTTATGTTCAACATTGACCTATGGGGGTCAGGGGTTGGCGACAGTTATTGATACATGGGTTTGAATATTTTGTCCATCTACTGTCTAAAGGTGTGACGTTTGCATATTTTTGGCTCGTAAGTATCAAGTCTAAAATCTTCATCGTAGTACTCTGTGTTTTAATCTTCTGTGCCCAACAACTCTTTCACATCGACACGTTGCGAGCGAGGACAGCAGACGTCAGGAAAGCAAGCCAGATGAAGAGCAGTTCCAGCTACTGCTCTTACTGTTGCCACGTGCCGTGTCTGTTCCCGGTGCCTTTCCAGTGCCTTTTGCAGTGCCTTTTCACGGTTTGTGTGCGCCTGCCAGTGATTTTGCCATGTGAGTCACCTTTTTGCTAAAAAGAGATAGCTTATCTTTTTGTTTCAACAACACTTACCAGAAACACATTTTTGCTGGCAGGGCCACGAGAAAGTGCAAAAGGCATTGGAAAAGGCACAGGAAAGGCACTGGAAAGGGACTGGGAACAGACACGGCGCATGGCAACAGTAAGAACAGTAGCTGGAACTGCCCGGCATCACTTGAACACAACACACGCATGTGCGTCTGTAGGTCTCCGGTCGCCCACACCCAGTACCGTAGATGGACGAAATATTCAAACCCTTTCAACCACGAGGACCCCTTCTACCCCAAAGCTCAATGTTAGAGGTCTTGCAAGAATGTTTCGGCGAATGGACGAAACAAATCAAACCCTGGAAACACAAATTCAATCAAGTTATGTTCAACATTGACCTATGGGGGTCAGGGGTTGGCGACAGTTATTGATACAAGGATTTGAATATTTTGTCCATCTACTGTAGTGGACCATGGAGCTATGCATGGGCACCCTCTACTGTATAAGTGCATGAAGACATTGAACAAAAACAACACTGATGTCAGCATACCATGCTGTCATCCCCACTCAGCCCACCCTTTGCGCCGCAGCCCAGCCACTGCAGCTGCAAAGAGATGTGCCTTCCGGCGACTTCGTGAACCCCTGGGTGCAAGAGGGCATTTGAAAGGCCAGGGCCGGCCAGGATGTGTCCACCTGTACCAGAAACTCATAAACTCGCACAAATAAGCCGCTAAATTCCAAAGTTGTTGTCTTGGTCTCCTCAAATGTGTTCACCTTCGCATGAAAGCAGGGACTCGAGAATGACCAACAATCTTCCACTGTGCTTCGGATGCGGAGCGAAGGATGGTTGATGTGCAAACATCACAAGGGCAGCCGGACATGCAGGGGCTGCCCTAACCGTCTGCATTTCCCGTTAGGTGCGGGGCGTATAAACTGAATGGTCCCTCTGCAGAGTGGAAGGCAAAGAACAAATCTTCCTCAGAGCCTCGGAATTCCTTGCGTATGACCAGTACCTGAAGGTTAGGTTGCAGGCCAACATCTCAAACATAGCGCTAATCTTTTACGGACTGTGACTGGTAATGGGCTACGCCCATTCCGAATTCCCATGATCCCTTCGTGGGTAGATGAGAATCCATCCATGATAATGGGATGGGCATATATAATATATATATAACTATATCCCTGGTATGTATGCCCATCCCTGACCACGTTTCCACCACCCCAATGTAGGGATCATATGATGTATACCAGTCCCATGTGTCTTCGTCGTGTCTGACTATGCCCGGATTCCGGAGGCCGACGAACGTCGTGGTGGTCGTCCGTCACAGGGAGATGAACCAAATCACTCCGCCACCAAGTCGGCTTTTACGGCTTTTTACGGCCCCAGAAAGTAATAAAAAAACAAAAACACAACAACAACGACAACGACAACGACAACGACACGACAACGACAACAACAACAACAACAAGGTACAAACAAAAACTGCAACCCCGTTACACCACATCTTCTTTCTTTTTCTCTACAAGGGGGTAGAAACAAATTCTGCGACCCCGTCGTTGTTTTTTGACCCCCCAAAAAACCAACCAAACAACAAGCACGTTACTGCTACTACTACTAGTGGTACTAGTGCTACTACTACTAGTGGTAGACACCCCCCACCCCGGGACGTGGCGACAGTGCGCGGGGCGTGTGCGGAGGCGGAGGGGGTGGAAACCCGGTTCTCAATCTATGCACTGAAAATCAGTCTTTTCTTGGAGACTCCTGGAAGCTTTTGGATTCCAATGGAACAATATGGTCGATTTAAACGCCTTCTTAGGGTCTATGAAACTCCTCTGAGGGTCATGCTACTGGTGATGCTTATTGTAACTGGTTAAGTAAACCCTGTAAAACTTCTACTTGGAACCTCTACCACATCCTAGAAACAAAAACTGCAACCCCGTGGTTGTTTTTTGGACCCCCCCC